CTTGTTTCGGATCATTCGAACTGTGGCAAGAAAACGTTCAATTGAATGCGAAAATAATGTTTCATTTAGATGTAAGGGGCGCTTCTTGTATGTTGGATATGTTATATTAAGTATAATGTTTTTGCTAACCCGTTATAACAAACTGCTATATAGAGGTGAAATATAGAATTTCAGTTCGATAACTCGATATTTACGAAACGTGTCATTCATTTTCAGCGGTTCGCTTTTATTTTTTGGCAACAGCGCGTTCGTAGAACGTAAATTCGATCGCAGCTGTACAGGTATACCATACATACACATGTGAGCAGCTGATAAATGTATATTTTACATACGTATGTATGTACATATTTTCAAATTACAGTCAGATTAACATTAATACACAATCCAAACAAGCGATTTTATTTGTTTATTGAACCGGCAAACTTGTTTTTGTGGATATGGATAATTATAGTAGCACTCCAGCTTCAAGTGCAATTAGCGACATGTGAAAGTAATAAATTTGTTATACTTTCAAATGTAGAGTGCTTAGCTGCTGTCCATAAGTTCCATAAAAGGGGCTAAGGTTCATTCTGAAATTGTAACCTAAAAATTAAGCTAATTTGGAAGCCTTGAAATTTTAATAAATAGGTTGTTGTTAGCATAGTTTGGTGCGTATTGTCTGTCTCTAATATTTTTATCATTGATGTTAGAGTGCAAGTTTTTGTAGCATCAAGCAATAGTTATATAGAACTTAGTCAGCATTTATATTTGAAATATGCTTGTGGTGGAGGAAAAAACGCGAATATTATTTAAAGGTTCACATTAATTGTAAGGTCAATATGTGTGGTGCGCTTTAAATGGCTACACGCGAATCGCCAACGGTGGCGCTCGTGCCATATACAAATTTCATTTTTGATAAATGTCTGGCATTTGCGTTTACTATGTACATATATACTACATACCTTAAAACATTAAAGTGGAATAAAAAAGTGACGTTTTAATTAAAAATGATTATTTTTTATGAGAATCCATTGCAAGAGCCTGGAAGAACAAATAGGTTGGATAATTTATTCTTAACCAATAAAATATTATATATTTTTCTAAACGATTGCAACAGTATATGGGAACCCTATCAGTGCCGTTCCCACGACAGTCGGGTCTAAATTACAGGAAGGGACCCAGATTTTTATCCAGCCAAGTACTGTTAAATCGGTACCATGTCTCAAAATGACTTGAGGTATATTTTCGGTCGCTACAACAACAACAATAACCCTATCAGTGACTAGCTGAATAGATTTAGTCATTACGAAATTTGATACATTCTCTGAACAAATTGTACTTATCGGATCACTGTAGCATATACGCATATATGTACATATGTACAAACGTAGCTGTAATACGTACTGAACGATTAAAAGCAGGTCCTAGTACGTAATCCTCTTTAATCCTGCAGGGCATTATAGCTTATTAGCGTTTTCTTCTTTTTATGAAACGAATTACGTATAATCAAAAATTATAAAAAAAAATTAATATTTTTGCTTTTATTAATGCTCAAATCTCTATAATCGAAATTTATTTAAAATTCTACTGTGCGAGCGATCCATCCTAATATACACATTTCTATACGTACATATGTATGTATGTATATTGATACCACACAAAAGATGAGCACCTCTGGCATACAATCGCAAAATAAACGTAAACACAAAGGCATGTTAACCAATACAGGTGTACCCATATACATACATATGTACATATGTATCTACGTAAGTTTCCCCGCATTAAGTATGTTAAGTACACAAGCGCATAAGTACAACTGTGCGGAAAACCTTGTTGGCATGCGATTTCAATCTATAGTACATGTCGAAAATTTGATTATAATTCTTTTGAATTTTCACACCAGACCCCAATTTTACAATAACAATAACAGTGGGTATTGATACTAGAGATCAAGAATTAAATTCAAAAGCAAATAACGAAAATACAGCAGAACTATATACTTAGATAGATCTATAGTATATGTATAGTATGTGAGTATTAGCGAAGAGATCGTACGGGGAAACGCCGCCCAAGTTTTTTAATATTTTTGCTGTGCTGCGGCTGCGGTGATCGTTGCTCATTGCCAGCACTGGCACAGGTTTATTTCAAGTTCAACGTACGCCTATCAAAAACAGACCAGGTCAGGCTTGCTGCTAAACTGAGTACATTGAAAATTTGAAAAGTGAATATGGAAGTAGGCAAATATATACAACAAGTACATGTGCATGTATGTTGACGCTTTGGGATCGGATTTGAGCTACATCACGGCTGATTATAAGTAATGTAACATATAAAAAATATCTGAGAAGAACCTGAGAAAAAAATTGAATATAAGAAATCGATTACGTTCGCTAAGTTTGTATGACTTTTATATGCTATAGAGCTGCGATCTGATCAATGTGTTCGAACATTGTAGCGTTGGCTTTTACCCCAATCAACAAAAAATTTCGTGAAGATATTTTGACAAAAAAAGTCTTCCTTAAAAGAACTTCATTTTAAACGATCAGCTTGTATTATGGATTACATTCTCAAAACTATATTTTTACAACCATACAATATAAGTATATAAACAAGTATCTTCATACATCTGTTTATTATTATATTATGTTATTATTATATTAGGTCAAAAAAGTCTTGCAGTATTTTTGCTACTTGCCGCTGAGAGCGCGTAGTTCTAGTTTTATTCGTCGCATCGGGTCATGGTATACCTTTTTGGAAAGCTCATTTCACGCGCTAACACGTGTTTGATTGATTGTTGTTTCTTTTAAGTCATTCATGAGTTATAGCGTCGCAAACATGTAGCAAAATAAAGAGAAAATACGGCATATTTTACAGTACTACTACGATAAAGTCAAAAATGCATCTCAAGCCGCCAATAAAATGTGTGCAGTTTTGATGGACCCGATACATTTTCCATTTCCACTGCACAACGATGGTTTCAACGTTTTCGTTCTGGTGTAGAGGTCGTCGAAGATGCACCACGCTTCGGAAGGGATGTCGTCGAAAATTGCCATAAAATCGCTGAATTGGTCGAAAGAGACCGGCATAGTAGCAGCCGTAGCATCGGTCAAGAGATGGGTATGAGTCATCAAAAAAAATTTTATAAACAATTGAAAATTCGTAAGCAGACGATACACATACAAACAGAACAGTCTACGTCGGGCTTGTTATCAATCAACACACGCATAACAGATATGTATGCATGTATATATGTATGTATGTGCATATTAATAGGCATTATGACGCTTTTTAAATATATATTTATAATAAAACTTTTAAATGATAATCACATATGAATCACAACTACCAACTTTTGCTTTTGTTATTTCAATTGATGCAGACATATATAAATATAGAACGCAGCTCCTTATAAATGTATGTGCAAGCAACCGCACGCATACAGTTGAATGACTCACCCTGTTTGCACCGGAAAGTAAGTGCTATAGCACTGCAGAGAGGAGTCATATGATAAGAATTATGACTTTCGAAATCCAATCGCAAGAGTACAATAACAGAAATTTTATTCCATTATTAACGTAAACTTGAAGGGAATTTAAGCATGGCAACAACAAAGTAAACACAATATAATACATTAATTAGGGAAAGATAAGCTGTATCCGCGCTTTTGTCATCAAAAAGCGGCATTTCATGGGTGTAACATAAGTTTTTTCCTACTTTATAATGTGAAATCTTTTCAGTTATGAAAATAATATGAGTGGTTAATCCTAAAAATAACCGAACTTTTTCGATATAGAATAAAATGTAACATAAATCACCTTTGAAAGTTATTATTTATTCATAGTTTTATTTTATGGCATTTATGGGTATGTTCTTCAGTACATCGGGTACAGCTGTTTGTATGACACATTTCATAAAAAAATTCATTTACTTTTCAGTCGTCATTTAATACCTGTGGGACACAAAGCGCACAAATCTTTTTCTTATCTAACGTTCAACTTCAATTCAGCTACGGTAGGTTTTCCAAACACCTTAAAACAATTCTACTCAATTTCTAGTTCATTGATAAAATAAGTATCACACTTTTTAATGAAATAATTGCCATAATTTAGCGTTTCGTACATCATCATGAACATGCAAGCAAATTTGGACATCTATGTAGATCCATAAGGTTGTGCGATGATATCGTTAACACTATGATTGAAATGCGCTGGAATTATTTAACTGATAACAGAGTACACACGTATCTCAGCAGCTGATAATTGCACAGCACTGTATATGACAACACATTTTATGTATTATTTATGTGAAGCACATTTACCAATTAGCTGCTAATTGCAGTTTAACACAATAACAAAGGAAATATTTTGTTAGAATGTGCTTTTAAACAACCTTGCGAAGGTTGCATATGTATTGAAGCATTTGTCATACTACTATTCAAATAAATTAATCATTGTTTATTTTATAATCCTCCACATTTTCGCCTGCGTAAAGCAGTCATGAGTACTTTATCTACTTATTGATTAAAAAAGCGATTTTTACAAAAAAAAACTATTGAAACCAGTACAGGGCAAATTTAATAATTTTTAGTCAATTAAAAGTGCATAACAATAGGTTTTATTACCTAAGTTCACATTATTTTTTAATATATTATATTTTTATCTAATACAGAAAAGCTTTCCTGTATTTACATATATGTATGTATGTATGTATTTATAAGATATAATTATACAAATTAAAGAAAGTAACCTGTAAAAACCTGGCATTGACCGATCACAGTACAATGTGTAACGAATATAAAACTGAGAACGTTGTGTACATATGTATGTATGTATGGATATGAATTACGTCTGTTATAGCAAAAGCAAAGTCAAAGTCAGGTAGATGAACGTTGTACATTTTCCGGCACCAATATATGTACATACATATGCACATAAATAAAATAAAAAGTTGTGTTTCACATGACTTAATCATCGTTCGGTAGTTTGTATAATAAACTAAAAATTTAGTAATTTTTTAGATACCTTTTAGTTTGTTTTTTGAGAAAACAACATTTGCCTTTACAAATTGCGGTTGTTCAATATACAATATGATGATTTTTAACTTTTCTCATACGCGCTACGAATCGCTGATTCCCGATAGCCCGACGGTTTTAAATATGACGGACGTGTTTGGAGTTACTGTTTATACTATAATAAATATGTAGTTATGAATACTATATCACTAATCAACTAAGTACAAACCTTATCAAATATAAGAAGGTCCAGTATCTTGACAGCTATGACGTTTTTTTGGGAGTGAAAGATAAAAAAAAAAACGCTTTCCGCATTTGAACTCAACAACGGCGATAAGTAAGTTTTATTTTTTAGAACTACAGCATGTTACATATTATTTTTTTCACTTTGTCTCGTTTTTTATTGTCACAAGTTTACACACCTTTCGTAATGATTGAAAAATAGACACGGAAACCGCTAGAAGAGGCCTGCTCGAGAGGCAGATGCACTTACAGACGGACAATAGTAGCAGTTGGGCTAACAAACTAAAAAGCCAACAGTCAGCGCCACAATCGATTTTTCGTTCACCGCCCCAAAGTGCTAAAGTACGAGTACGGCGACCGACAAGCTGCAGACAACGGTCACTGGTAGCAAAGCAGCAGACGCAAAAAAAAACGCACTAACACAATTGAAACTGTTCGGCCGCTAAATTGCCGCACCTCGCGCTCTTTAAGGAGAGATTTCACTTTTATATTTTTTATTAATACACAATGCAATCTCAATTAACGCCGCTTCCTTGTACTTTTATCACAATGCGGGCGGGAAATATAGTTCCACGATTTGTGTTTGTTTAAATATCACTAAATCTATGGATAAACGCGTATGAAAAATCCGACATCGAAGCGAGACGCGAATGTTTGACGTTTGGCAATTTTATTTGTGTTGTTTGACATTTAGTAGACTTATTTCGCGGAATTGCCAGAGTATAAGTATATGTCGCGTTGCCAACTATGTAACTATAACAATGTTTTAAACAAAGAATGTTAAATGTGTTCTAATAGAAATTACAGTTTAAACATACATGAATGGTATTTATTATATTTAATTATCCTTTAAAACATGCTTGGCTACTTTATGATTGAAAATATTTTATACATAAGGGTATTTATGTGTGAAAATTGTATTGAAATGTAAAAATAAACTAATTCGAGTAAGTCTGTAAAATAAGCAAACTTAGGGCTTTGAAGGGTAAATTGAGTTATCGCATATCCCTTGGGAGGACATGTCCATAAGCATACCCGGCTAATTGGAAAAAGCGCATCTGATCTTTACTTAACGATCTCATTTATAGTGTTTTAAATAATGCACTACTTAGGTGCGGATAAAGTTGTGTTTTTTCGGGCGATTTCTCTTTATATCAATATTTCTTTATTGAGTGAAATTTCACTTCTTCACATCTAATACAATACGGATTTGTTAGATTTCGCTTAGTAAATAAAATACTGATGATAAAAAATTAATTATAAAATTTCAGATATTATATGTATGAATAAGTCTTGTTTTTAAATTTTAGTTTTGGTTGTGGTTTGGTAGTTCAAATTTTCGCCGATACTCAGATTTTCATGTCCGGTTCTGTACTGCATTCTCTACGGCGAGTAATACTGTAAAAAGAGTTGCGTCGTTAAAGCAGTGCGTCGATAAAAAGTTAGTTTGTTTTCGTAGCGAACCGTCCATCATAAAATAAAATAATTCTTTATAGTGGGAAACTCACTCTTGAACGAATCTAATAACATAAGCAAGAAAAAGCTTGCTTTTATGAAAAAATAAAATTTATGAATGTAGTAAATTTTAGGCCATAAGCACTTGAAATACTTTATTACTAGTTTATTGAATAATCGTACAACATTTTCAGCAATGGAACTCTGACACCATAATGTAGGAAAGTTATTGTTATACTTGCTTTCGTAAAAGTAGCAATTTTAAAATATGTTTTTTTTCAGTTTGTTATTAAATTTAGAAAATCGAAAGCGCTGGAAGCGAAGTTTTCGAAGAATGAAACACATTTCCTGAAATCGCTCGATTGGAAGGACACATTCTTCTATACAAAGAGTAAAAAAATTCCAAACATATCGTCACTTTAATACCTAAGTCAATTCATAGCGCCCAAAAATACAAGAACATCGTGAAACTAGTAATGGTTTGGAAGTGCAACTCGCTCAATAATACCTCTGCACTGACCCCATTCGCAAAATTAAAACAAAAAAAAAAAAATAACAGCATTTTATGGTCAAGGAAGGGTTTTATGAAAAGTCACAGTCGCTCATTAATATGGCTAGTCAATAAGCAAGTACATATGCAATACCTTCGCGAAAAAGCACTTTAACAAGTCCAAGAATGTTTGACAGAAAGTTATTTTTTCCGTTGAGAGCAAATTTTGTGTCTTGGGATGGAGACTGTAGATTATGCTACAAATATCTGGAATCAAGGAACGCAATATCATGTTCAGACCGAAAATTTAAAAGATTAGATTACATTTAAGCAATTCATAACAACCAACAGTGTTCTCACTGCCATTAGAAAGATCAAAAAACAGCTGCTATTGTCATTCAAGAGTTCACATCGCTTATCAGAAGAAAAGATTGTCATATAGTATTTTGAAATAAAAGCCGTCTTTTTTTTAATATTTTCCATATAATAGAAATAATGGATGCATTTTTTCATTTGTTAAGTCGATTTTCAGGTGAAATTAGATTCATTGCTTTAAAAAAATTTGTTTGTTTACCTTTTTTCCCTTTATAGTGTCTAAATTTGCTGTGATAATGTAACAGATTTCCAGTGCTGACAAGTACATAGATTGCGCAAAATCAGAGTCGCACAGAGAGATTTAGCGTGGATCAGTTTCAAATCATTTCAATGAAGTGATTTGGAACTGTTATTTTTATATGGCGAAATCGTGATAAATTTTTAAGATTAGTGGGATAATCCATGCAACAGCCGAAATCGTGTGATTAAGTGTCGGTCTGAACATGGTATAAGATTTTATAGCGAAAAACGGGCAGGGCACTCGAAAAGGAAATCTTAATGCATACTGTGAGGAACGGTGGTGGAAAAGCAATGATACGTGGAACATAGCTAGCAATTGTGTGGATTATTTTTTATTGGATATCCGAAGAATACAGCTGACATATGAAGTTTAGTTTTAGTGACTCTTAGTGGTTCTTAAGCAACTTCAAACAGGACCAGAATGACCGCATTTTAATTCCAACCCTATGAGATTCACGGAACGTAAAAATTCGTCATTGGACCTTTATCTCAAAGGATATGCTCAAGGATGTGCTGGACGAGGTATGGGTTAAAATCCCTTCGACAGAAACTTCAAAGCTTGTCTATTGGATGTCAAAACCCCTCGCGGAAGTTTTAAAACGTTGGGGTACTATTCGACTTTCTATTATATTTGAAGTAGAATTCAGAGGAAAAATAACTTTGTTCGACTTATCTAACTTGTAAGTAGATTTTGTCTAATGTTTTTTTTTTTGCTATTTTCGCCAATTTAATTAATTTTATTTTAATAAAAGTTATAGTAAAGATTTCTGCTTGAAAGATGCTCGGAAAACGTGCCATTGGTATGCATAGTTTAGTATGCGGTTCCGCAATGTTTGCTCCAATGCTTTCCGGTGTTTTCGAGGCGCCAGTGTACCACTGAATAGTGCTGCCCCTCAGTAGTAGGTCGAGCATTGAATCATTCCACTGGCCTTACTGCCAAGAGTAACTCTAAACTTGTTTGTAAAGTTTACCTCTTCGTAGCGCTGTGGTGAATCTTCCCCCAAGCCCTCCATATGTTGAGACGGCATTATCTTCCCTTTGCCAACACCCTCTGTTGAAACTAGCAACATAGTATGTTTCACTACCTGTTTGATCACTAGATGCAGCGGTATGATTTAAACCACGACTTCAATTGCAGCGGTGGTGCAAGTGCGCATTGCCTCTGAAGCGCAGACATAGTCGAGCCTTTGCAGCTTCAACAGTTGAAGCCCTACCGAAGACTGCATTATCTTCGATGCCCAAACAACGGCTCCACAAGTGACAAAAGGCCTTACGATCATGGTATACAGTCAGCTGATGGTGCCTGGTTTGCAGCCCCAGATTCTGCGGGCTAGGCATCTGCATATTATGAGTGCCTTGGTGGCTCTGCACAGTGTTAATTCTAATGTTGTTCTTGATGATTTTATAGCGCATGGGTGCGAAGAAGTTGAAGTGTGATGCGTCTTTACGCTGTTAACTTTATTTTCTCTTTGTTGTTTATAGGCTCACGTTTGCGAGTGCTTTCTGTATTGATGGTTAAAGGATCAGTCAGCCCGTCATTTCAATTACATGGTTAAGTGAGTGCTTTGATTGTGATCGTACAGCCAATCCTAATTTGGTGCACCTGCCAGCATCCATTAATACTGATTCATTCGATTTCTATTTATGGCTGACAAATGCATTCATATGTTTTTTCTGTTACTTGGGTGTCCAGACTACAATTTAAGTGATTGATAAGATCGTGTAATTAATTTGGTAATAAACTGTCACGATTGCGTTCATCAACAAGTGCATTTGGCATTTTACAAGAGATGAGCTTTTAAGAGCGTGCAAAAGTATTATTGGTAATATTTAAGTAACTTAAACATACATATATGTTATATAATAATGTGATTACTTCACTGGTAGTTATTTATGACGGAGTAAGGGAGTGATTAGTTCGGCTGGAAATGAATGCTCTTTTGCAATTTTTACTGGGAACCTAGAATGACAATGGACAAAGTAAAAGACAAGAAAGAACGTTACCTTCGGCTGAACCGAAGCTTTGATTCCTTATTTTTATAGCTTAAAGGAGTATATAGAGATCTTTATCTTGATTTTGAACGATCAGTTTGTGTGGCATATGGTAATGCTATAGTGGTCCGGGATTGATTCCGACCAACGAGTGTTTTTCTGGGAAGAAAAGGGCGTGTGCAAAAGTTCTAAACGATATCTCAAAAACACGCAGATATGGAGACACACAGAAATTTTCATTTTAGACTTTTAAATATGGAAATATTAGTTCATTAGTGTAACATTGCTGTTACCAGTAGGTAAAAAGAAAAGGTTAGTAGTGTATAATGACGACTTAAATAGCATTATGGGATGATGGTAAGACCTGCAACCACAGCCTGACGGCTGCAGCCTTAACACTTAAATCAAATACGTTTTATAAATATGAACAAAATTATTAGAAAGTATTCCCAAATTTGGAGGATGGAGCCATGAGTAGAAGTTCACGGGAGTGGGGAAATTCTGATCCCCATTCACTTAGGAATGGCCAGAAACGATTCTATTACCTATGGCTTAAGCAGCTTATGACTTCTGGTCGTAGACCAAGAATGCTCTGGGTAACCAAAAACTATCCGTTTGAAGGTGAGCTAAAGTGAGAAGGCGAAGCATCCCTGCCTAGATTTGTGCGCTGAGTTTGGGACCCGCCACCAATTAAAAGAAGAAAATAGCCTTTTGATGACGACCGCTGCAAACGTGTTAAGGATTACGATTTAATCCCTTAATTGGAATGGATCCGCTGCTCAGCTAATGCCATTGTAAGAGTAAAGGCTAATATCACATCGCCGTCTAAGAAGTGCGGTGGACGGGATAAGGGCAGAGGCGAGTAGGTGCTTGTGACATTTATTACAGTGACCCTATGAAGGACCGCACATTCGGTGTGGGACTCGTGGAGGGAGAGAGACTACTTCGCCGAGTCTTGGCAACATATCGCTGGTTTGAGTCCACACCCCGACGGAACAATGGAACTAAAGATGTCGTTTATGAGCGCTTGGAGTTGCCCCGCTCACGATGTCAAAATCATGCTTGGCGACTTTAACGCCAGGGCGGACAAAGTAAATATTT